AAAAAAAAAAAAAAAAAGATTAAAATTTATTGTCCAGTGCTTCCTGTGATCTCGCTACGAATATACCTGTCCAAGATCATACAGGCATTCACCAATTTTATTCCAAATGTTTTATGTCTTCTGTTTATCTGCATGAGTCTGTAGTGTTCTATATTAATGTTCCTTTATCCTACCAGAGGACAGAAAGGCCAGCATCCATACTCACAGGGAGCAGAGCCTCTCTCCACGACACCCTTTGACATGTCTCACGTGGGCCTCTCCTTCCTGAGCACCCTCCTAAGGGACCCCTTGACCTCTGAGCTCCTCAGGCTGTAGATCAGGGGATTCAGCATGGGGTTGAAAAGGCTGTAAAACAGAGAAAGGATCTTCTGCTGCTCCTCAGGATGGCGGGACTTGGGGGCCATGTACATGATGATGGCGCTGCCAAAGAAGAGCCCCACCACGCAGAGGTGGGAAGAGCAGGTGGAGAAGGCCTTCCTGCGGCCCTCCCCTGACCGGATGCTCAGGATGGCCAGCAGTATGCGGAAGTAGGAGCCCAGCACCAGGCAGAGGGGCCCCACCAGGATAAAAACACAGGCTGCGACGATGACCACTTGGTTGAGCCTGGTGTCAGCACAGGCTAGCTTGAGGACAGACAGGATCTCACAGAAAAAGTGGTTGATTTCATGAGGCCCACAGAAGGGCAGCCTCAGGATGAGGACCACATGGACCAGGGCCAAGAGGAAGCTGAACACCCAGGAGGAGATAGCCAGGACGGTGCACACTTTCCAGCTCATGATGACAGTGTAATGTAGGGGATGGCAGATGGCCACGTACCTGCCGTAGGACATCACCACCAAAATCAGGCACTCAACGTGAGCAAAAGCCAAATACAAGAACGTCTGCATTATGCATGGAACAAAGGAGATGGTTCTTTTCTGGCTCACCAGATTTGCCAGCATCTTGGGGACATTGTTGGAAGCATAGGACATGTCGAGAATGGCCAGGTGTGAGAGGAAGAAGTACATGGGGGTGTGCAGTCTGGAGTCCAGGCAGACAAGGCCCAGGATGACCCCATTCCCCAGCAGGGTAATTGTATAGAAGAGAGAGAAAAGTCCAAATAGGAACAGCTCCAGAGCAGGGTCAACCTGGAATCCCAGCAGGGTGACTTCTGTGATCCATGTCTGATTGCCTCCCATGCCCCTGTGGCTCAGAAAGACAAATCCTCATCTGGAGAGGAAGGTCAAAACTGTGGATCCATCAGAAATACCAAACAATGACTGAATGTTATAGAGCGAGCATTTACAAATGTGTCACTGTGGATCGATTTTTTAATAATTTATTTTCAGAATTTGCCAAAAGTAACTAGATGTGATCATAAAAATGAGAAAAAAATCTGTTGTTTTAATTGAATAGTAAGAGACAATGTTTGCTATTATATAGAAAAATGTTATATATAATAAAATATAATGGTCGGATAGGATTTCTTATATAGTATAATATGCCCTATAAAAGGATACACACCCACACGTGCACAGGTGTTGGTTGGAGAATTCATGTCTTCTTCCTTCCCTCCAGGGAGGGAGGCTTGATTATTAACACAGTTTAAAGAGAGATGAACCTGACGTGTCACATGGGAGGTTCTTTCATACCCTAGATTTTTATCTTTGTCTGTCCAGGATATGAAGCGACTAGGACCCTGTTCTTTCTGGGCCTGCTCACTACCTAATGACCTTATTGACCTTCTCACATACTTTTCTTCCTACTTATTTCACATTTGAAGTCCCTTCTAAATAACTGTCAATTTTTTTTTTCTTGCTCTGTCTGCCTGGCTAGACTACAATGGCACAGTCTTAGCTCACTGCAGCCTCAAAGTCTTGGGCTCAAGCCATCCTCCTGCCTCAGTATCTGGGACTGCAGGTGCATGCCACCACACCCAGCTACTTCTTTTTCATATTTCGTAGAAACAGGGTCTTGCTATGTTGCCCAGGCTAGTCTCAAACTTTTGGCCTCAAGCAATCCTCTTGCTGTGGCCACTCAGTGTGCTGGAATTCCAGGTGTGAATCACCTTGTCTGGCCATCAATTTTATATTTTCTTTAAAATTTCCTGAGAAAAGATCCCCTTTTCTGTAGCTGGCTGAACCTGGAAGATCGTTTGGGTGCCACTTTTCATCTCTACTATTTGTAGTTTTACTGATTTCTTCCTCAGCATCTCTTACTGAAAATTAGGCATCAGTGAAGGAATTCTTTAATTATATGTGATTAACTTATGCGTATATCTTAAATACAGTTAAGCATGTGACATTTCTGAGACCTTTTAAAGTAAGACACTTAGTCCAGTTGTGGTGGCTCACACCTGTAATCCTAGCACTCTGGGAGGCCCGGCTGGGTGGATGCCTGAGCTCACAGGTTTGAGACCAGTCTGAGCCAGAGTAAGACCTCATCTCTTAAAAAAAAAATAATAGCTGGGCGTTGTGGTGGGTGCCTGTAGTCCCAGCTACTTGGGGGGCTGAGGCAAGAAAATTGCTTGAGCTCAAGAGTTCGAGGTTGCTGTGAGCTATGAGATCACAGCACTTTACTGAGGCAACAAAGAAAGACATTGTCTCAAGAAAAAAAAAATAAAGTAAGACACTTAAACAAGGAAATCAATTTATAGTAACAGTGGTTATAGTTAATTGTAATAGCTGTATTGTAATTGCATTTTGTTTGGCTCTTTTCTGTATCATAACTTTAATATGCTGACAAATCTCAGAACTGGTCTTATTTTCTACCATGACAGAATCTTTTGTCTTTACCATATCTTCCCAGATTGGGCACCTCAGGTTACCATCAAATCCACTAACTGGCTTCTTCCTCATCACCTGTCATGGCAGCAGCCTATTGCAGTTGGCCTGGATCCTGAGCAGGGCACAGGGGTTGTAGCAAGGAGTAGGTAGAACCCCAGTTGGTTAGTTCTTTCTAGGGAGCTTCCTCTGTGCACCCAGCAGAGTCCCAGTCTCAGACCAAGGGCCAGGAGAGGAGTGGATGGCGCCTTCACTCAGAGAAACCATGGGACCTAGGGCTGTTCTTTTTTTTACTTCCTTCACATTTTCTTCAGAAATAGTTTGTATTTTTATTTTTCAATCAGGCTAAACGTCAAATATAACAGAATAATATTAAAAATAATTTTAATATTTAAAAATTTTAGCAAATACATAACCCCTCCAATTTGTCTGTTTAAAATGGGACTTTATTATACAGAATATTTCTAAGTTATAATTTGCACTCAATGAAATGAATATTTTTCACTCATTAAAACTATATTCTATAGATATTATTTAAAGTAGTACAGTATTCTATTATATCAGAATTTATTGAATGTCTTGTTGGAATTTTTTGTTCCTATTTCTCTTATATTTAGTAGTGTTAAGATAAATCTTCTTTTTATTTTGAGACAGTCTCATTCTGTCAACCCGGATAGAGTAGTTCACAGCAAACTCGAACTCCTGGGCTCAAGTGATCCTCTTGCTTCAGCCTCTGGAGTAGCTGGGACTACAGGCATGTGCCACTATGCAGGGCTAGTATTTCTACTTTTAGTAGAGACTGGTTTCATTCTTACTCAGACTGGCCTCAAGCTCCTGAGTTCAAAGTCAGCCTCCCAGAGTGCTAGGATTACAGGCATGAGCCACAATGCCTGGCTCAAGATAAATACTCTTATAACTGTAAAATTTATCTATATTCATGATCATTTATTTAGGACATATTTGAAAAGTGAAATTGCAAATGCTAAAGATGTAGACTTTTGAAAGGTTTTGATACCCACCGGTTGCTTCCCTCCAGAAAATTGGACCAATTTCAGTTCTCACTGATAGTGTGTGAGAATCAGCCCTCCTTGCCACATGGTCTGTGCTAAGCATTCCCAGTTAGAGTCTTTGTTAATTCCATGAGGGAACAAGCTTATATAGTTTCAATTTCTATTTCATCCATCCCTTAACAAATGATCCTCAGGAGCGCGATCGTTTCATGAAGGATCTGGACACGTTCTGAAGAGGGGCCAGACCATGAAGAAGCAATGTTAGGGTGGGGCACTTTTCTCCCTCTCCTCACATTTGCATTTAAGGTAGGAAACTTCCTGCCCCCAGAGGGAATCACTTTGGAATATAGCTAGCTGTCGTCTCTGTTCCCTGATTTCTATGATTTGTGAAATAGCAAAAAGAAATTGAGGAGGCCTCTCCCCTGCTCTCGTTGTGGCCACTTGCATTCCACGGCTTTGGGCACAAAGCATGCAGGAGCTAGTTCTGTCCCATTTGGGGGGGGGTCAGCTACTGGTTGTGATTTTCATTTGCTGAGCAATGTGTTTTAATAAACATCACCAGGAAAATATATGTTTCTATTTCCACCTGATTCCTGAGTTTATTTCTCAATTTGCTTTTTTCAGGACTTAGAGCAGAGAGAGGGCGTGGCTACTTACCACCTCTACACACCCGGAGTGCACAGGTGACTAAGGTAATTGTTGACTGAAAAGTACTGTGAGGGAAATAAGCTGGGTGGAATGACAGAAATGACTGGGCCTGAGGGGGCTCATTAGACGGGATAGCCAGGGAGGGCTCTCCTGGGAGGAGGCCTGAGTGAATCCTAAACCATGAAGGGGAATCAGCCCTGACCAGGCAGGAGGAAGGGGCAGTGAAGGCTGAGAATTTGGGCAGGAAGCACCTGGTGAACTATGGGAAGAGAAAGAATCCCACATGCCTCAACCACAGGGAACCAGAGGCTGTACACAGCCTGTGGTATCTGTACACATTTCTTAAAATTTGGAATGGACATAAAAGTTTATTAGGTGGGGACAGATTAAACACACATGGCTATTTTAATATCACAGAATACCATGAGAAACAGTCATATAATTCTTTATACAGTAAAATGCAAAACTACCCACATGGAGTTAATGCATGTGTATATAATGTGGTCTGATTTGTATTTTAAGATATAAACATATTTCTACTCATACATGAATCCCCCATCATTCTCAGGGGATATGTTTCAGGATCCTGTGTGAAATGGTTGAAACTGTAGTTGGTACTGAATTACATGCTTTTTTCCACATGTATTTACTTATGATGAAGTATAATTTATATAGTAAGCACAGTAAGAGGTTAACAACAATAACTAATATGAAAATAGAAAAGTTAAATTGTGGATAAGGGGAAATTACTTTATGTTTTTCGGTGTCTATTACATTTATATAGGAAAAGACTGTAAGTTAAACCTGTTACCCGCTTACCCCCATTATCTCTAAAGAGTCAGATTACGTACAGATGTACTTTTTGCATAAGTTGTTTGCTCATTTGCTTCCTAACAAATTTTATGCCCTATCACAGACAAAAACAGGACACTTCTATTTTGGAAAAATCCACAAAGTCCTAACTAAGATTGCACATGATTCCCACTTATTTAGAAAGTATTACTCACCTAGTCTTCACAGGAATCCCCCATGTGAGAAGATTGCCTTAGATGCTAAAATGGGAGAAATACGTCACTGCAATCTAAAAAAGAATTAACACCTTCAAAGAAGGAGGAAATTAAAAACTTATTTTTCTTTACAAAAGACATGCTTATTTTCTGAGTTATATTGATGGAGAAAATGGTCAAGATCTTTGATTAACGAAAGTACAAGATATTATACGGGTTGTGATGGCATCAACTTGTGAAGGAGAGCATACTCAGGGTGAAGTTTTAAGGTTGCACACGTCAAAAAATGGGAAGCTGGTCTTACAGAGAAATATATCTCAATGCCTTTTTTACTTTATTATCTGTAATGCAACTTCTGGGGACTGCAAATTAGAAAACCAAAGAATTAAAACTATGATGAAGAGAGTATATTGAAATGCATCATCTGGAGTGGCAGGAGACTTAGCTGTCATCTAGTCTAGAAGTCTGTTTTCTTAGAAAAAGTCATTTAGAGTCAGCTTGCTTGTCAGTAGGAATCACATATTGCAGCCCTGTTCACAAAAACTCTTCCTTGCCACATTTTCCTCAAGGCACTCATGGCAAAATTTGCCTCTGTGATTTCCCTTGTATTTATGTTCCTACGGGTAGCCAATGTGCCGACTAGTAGACACAGCCTACATTTTGTATCTCTCTTAACACGAGATGGCTGTGTTAAACTAACTTACAGAGCCTAGGCTGGTTACTTCACTGGAGGTCCCAGAAATAGCAAGAC